TAACCTCAATTACAACTGTGTCAGAGAAAATAATCCAGTATATTTAGTCCCATTTAATACACGTAAATTACAATTTCAGATGTGTATGTCCTGGAGTGGGGCTGACTATTCACAATTTGAGAGTTGCAGAACCCACTCTGAAGTCACCATATATTGATGTGGGTCTTGGATATTCAAGACCTGGCACTAATTACACCATGAAGGTATACTAGCATGGCGAGTCACACATACTGGGCACAATAATGTAAGTTTTACCCATCTGGTGGTGCTCATGATTTACAGTCAAAGCTGAAGCTGCAAACCTCACCTCAGGTCACGAGGCTTCCTCAGTGCCCAAGAACAGAACTCAGCACCGTCTGCCAGGCTGCTGCAGCACAGAGAGGCACATGCCTGTCACAAACACTCCACAACAAGGGTCAGAAGCATATTTGCTCTGCTGCACTTTGCGCTGCCAGGTTAAGGCTTAACAGGCAGTTTAGTTCGCTACAGTAGGGCACAGGAAATGTAATCCCAAGACTTTCACTACAGTGAAGGGGATACAAGGGGATATTCCTCAACTAACTGCCCTGCAAGTGAGCCAACACACCCCAGAAACAGCCCCAACAACTTCCTGTCCTAACAGAACCACCACAACAGAACTATGGAGTTAATTAATGTTTCTTGTAAACAGAATGGCAGCTGGCCAGCCTGCACTTACGAAATGTTTCAAAGATGCTAATACAGAAAAAATAGATTTCTACTAACCTCCCTTCCCTGCCAAAGTAACAACTATTCTCCAACGCCTATCTGAAAAAAAAATCCAGTCCAGGAAATCAAGATGGACATGAAAGTGTCAATACTGAAATGTGATTTTATTTTAATGCCTTTAGTTTGTAAAGTGCACCATAGGTATCGGGGGGCAAGAAACTTTTTCTTTGATTACTATGCTAGGGCCAAGTTCAGAGAATGTCAGTGAATTGCTATCATTACATTACAGACACTCTAAAAACCTGGATGCAACTGTTTGATACAATTAGATTGTTACAATCCAAAGTACAGAATCATGTTAAACTCTGAACACTGCATGATATATTTGGTATATAGGTGTATGAACAAGCTATAAACCTGTTATTTATATGTACTGTGGCTTCTGTAAGCTGTTCACTCACAAGCATCTCCTGCTTAGTCTGTAGTGTTTTAGCCCTAGATAAATGCAGAAGACTGAAAGATAGCATATAACTCTGCCAGACAGCCAGAGTTCCCTCAAGTCTACACTCCTGTACAATTGTGTCCATAAAGAACAAAGAAAGATGCCTGAAGTGACAGGCCAGAACTTGTTAGCACAGACCTTTAAAAATGAGAATCTCTTGACACTGTTCATTTAACTTCGCAAACAGTCCATGATGAACAGCTACTGAGAACAAAATGCCTTCCCCTTACAGAGCAAAAAGACAACTAGCAATGTCAGGAATAACTGGAGTTGCTCCTCAACTGTGGCATATGCTATTAAAAGTTAGTATCACTGGATTACAAAGAAAAGTAAGTCATCAGCATGTTTCTGAAAACATCCAGGCCTTTGAGACAATGTTCAGACTAAGTAGCTAGGTTGTGGGCCTCAGTGTTTCAGAGATGAGCAGGAGGTGGACTAGAGGCCCACAGCTGCAGGGCATTTCTAATAAACACAGACACTGCTCAACAAAGATTTTCCCTTTTACTTGTGGCTTCCACAGCCACTATGAAATCTGCATAGAGATGACAACCCATCTACTAGTAAATTAACTGCTATTAATTTCCAAGAGGAATGTGTTCTGACGAAGGAATGCTCCTTCAACATCTGAAAAAAACAAGACGGTATTTGCTGCCTCGTGACAGCAATTTTTATTATGTCCTTGCCCTCTGGAAGGGAGTTTGAAGGTGCTAAGGTGGAGCAGGGGTAAAAAGAAGATAACTAGTTTGAAGAAAGGTGTAGTTATAGTAAGCTGCAACATAGCCTTTTACTTAAAAGTAAGTACCCAGATAGAAAAAATACGGTTGGGAGAAAGGAACATGAAATACTGAAATGTTATTAAAGATTCTGCATTCTTTCTCCATTTTAAACAGTCCAGATTTCAAGAGGTAATCTTAGAAATTTGCCCTTGCATTGTATTTCTTTGTAACAAAAGCAGAAGACAAGTGAACATTTATACGTATATCTGTTCTTCCATGCAAGCTGGCAGACAGAGATAAGGGAAGTTGAAATGATACTGACACCTGCCTTTCCAGGGCCTTCAGCAAGTGCTCTGCAGAACAGCAGCACCATAGGTCACAGCACAAAAGATTTCAGGTGGTCTTAAATAGTTAGTTCTTTTGCCGAAGGAGAAATAAAACCTTTGTTTTATTCTCACAACACAGCATTTAGTGTTTTAAATGAAATTTTTATTAGTGTCAGATTAGAAAGCTGACTAGACTAAGCTAAAGTTAAACAAAATCTACAAGAGTGCCATAAAATTTCTAGTTATCACTGGAGAAGGAAGTTTACTTTAATGTAATTTAATTTTTCTTTAAACCCTAGTAGAGACAGTCTTGATAAAATGTAGCTTCTTCAATGAAATGCAAACTGTATGAATAGGGGAAAAGCAAGATGTAACAAAAAAGTAAGGAATTTTAACAACCATGTGTCATTTGTAGCTCGTGATTGCTCATAGACACGTACTACCTGTAACATTCAAATTCAGGGTACAGGTTGTGCTTTTGTATTCTTCCAAGAGCTTCAATGACTTCAATGCTTTGGGTTTTGTTACTTTCAGGTTCAAGGAGGTCCTGTGGTATTGGCAGCCAGGTTACTGCACACTAATTGTTGTAGTCAATCAGGAAGGTCATATTCCCTTTCTCCTGAGCAGTCAGAAAAATGGTTAGAGCTTGTTAATTGTCTCTCAAGCTGCATACAGCAAAGGTGCACCTATTAAACAAAGGCAACTTATATGACCAGAGAAGTATGGTATAATGAGACAGTTATTTGGGTACAAAACCTTTAAATACCTGTTAATCTCTGTTTTCACCTGAATTTTTAAACTTCTGAACACGAGACTGAATTGCTGTGCATCAAGTTGCAAGGCACATTTTTAGGCCAAATTATTATATAGCTCATGTGCACGCATATGTAAATGTAGGCAGAATATCTATTACTATAGTAGCATTCAGAGTCAAGCAATCATGGTATTTTCTTACTTGCACACTATAGCAAGTTCTATTTAATTTTTATAATTTTTAAACAAAGATGAACATGATTTGCATGTCTGGCAAGCTGGAAACTGAGACACTGGGCCAAGTCAACCTCAGAAAGTCAATCAAGCTACTGAAAAGTATATGACACAAGTGTTCTTCCACATTAGAATACTAAGCTTCAGTCTTACTTTTGCAGAGAGATGCTCCAAGCAACTATATCTGGATTTTTAGACTTGTACACTGTCACACATCAAAGTATTTCTTCTAAGAGGCCTATTGGCTGATGTGATTAATTAAAACTTGCCATTTTCAATCATGTGAAAATCTGAAAAAACCAAGGTAGCACAAAGGTTTGTTCAGCTATCCAGACGTAAGATTTTATGTAGTGCATGAAAAAGTCTCCAGTAGGTCTGGACTGCAAATTTTCCACCAAAACAGAGTCCTTATTGTACTCTGACAAACTAGTCTTCACTTAATTTCAGTATTTCTATCTGCATTCAGACAAAAATACCTAGCTTAATTTATCAGAAACACAGGAAAAAGTGTGAACAGGCACTAATGAAGGCCTAAACAGAGCCAGTCTCTTCTCTCACTGAGGGATATAGCTCCCCTGTCTCACAGTCTGTGGGAGGTAACTTTTTGGCATTTCATCAACTGACAGTGGATTTCTTTCCACTGTTTCAGGTCTCAGTGTTTGTTCTTCAGCACTCATTTGTAAAACATCTGATAGAGCAGCTTCCTGGGTATTTTTTTCCAGCCCAAAGCCCAATGGCTGTGAACTCTGACCTGAGATCTGCAGTTGTGCAAATCCAACAAGATCCCCCTCATTAGCAGGACTAATTGGCTTTGTTCTTTCAAAGCACAGCCTCTCTGTGTTGGCTTCATCCTGACCACCATTTTGTTTGAAATACTGATGCCCCTGTGCTGTACTGTCACCTCCTCCAGTGTGATCCTCTGATCTCTCTTCTGAATCTAGCAGTGGCTGAGTCGACTCAGACCTTGAAAAGACTTGTACAGGTGTCTGGTCTCTGTAGCCATTAAGCACTACAGTTGAATACTGTACAGTGCTTGAAGTGTTTTGTGTAGTTTCCCCTTCATCACTGTCAGAGACGCTTTGCCTAGGAGAAGACATGCACGAGGATCCTCCAATACCACTGCTGTGCCCTTCTGAAGTACTTTTTTCCTTTTTAAGCAAGTCAAAGGGTTTGAGATCTTGTTCTGAAAAAGACTTCTTGTCATCAGCTTCTATTTCTACGACGCTTACATCTGTAAAGCTGCCTTCTGGGTACATCTGATCTTTGGAACTAAAGTTATGCTGAAAGAAAGAGATGGACGTTTCCTAAGAGGAAGGTTGTGTTAAAAATCAAAAGCCCCATTAAATATCTGATTTTGTAATTGCTCAAAGTTTCTTCATATTAGTTTTCTCCTCACTAAGTTTGGCAATATCTCTGAAGTATTTGTTACAAAATGAAAGATGTATCTTTGCTTCCAGTACAAAGTCTTAATTATGCAGCTGTTCTAAATCCATAATGGGTGTGCAAGCTTTGCTCTAATTTTAATTATTCTTAAGAACATTGAACATAGAATCATTTACGGTGCAGTACAGGAACACACTGTACTGAGGCCATACATACATTACTTCCAATAGTGCATTCAACATCACAGCACTTCTTCATAGAAGTCAGCCACTGAAATGGAATTTGCTATGTCATTTGCCCCATATGGGACATAAATTTTGCTGCCTTCTCCTCACCCATGAGGAACTCTTAGAGCTTCTTCTCACATTCACAGCTTAACTGTGCAAACAAGTCACTTCAGGGTTTTAAGAACAAGACCATAAATTCTGTTTACTTAATCCTCATTTCCTGTGAATGAGTAAAATAGTTATGACTTGACCCTTCCCATTAGTAAATTTAATATAATTCACAATATTAGAGCCTGGTCTATGCTGTGAAATTGTTCTAAGGGTCATATATTGATAATGCTGAATCTACTGATGCAATAATGTCTTCTAACCATATCGTATCACAATGTCATGAAACTTAACACATAGGTTTGTTTTTTTTCCTTTAAATCCATGTGTACTAGAAGACAGAAGACTCCCACTGGTTAGTTTATCTGAAACCTTGTGGACTAGGAAGATACAGGATGCAGAAAGGTGAGTTTTACCTTAGCTGGAACTTGAGGAGACCACTGAGCAATGTTACTCTTGGATGGATCAGGGACAATAGGCCAGATATGCTTTTTAATTCTGTGCAGGATTAAAAAAAAAAGTAAAATTACAAGATACACTCCCCAAATTCCTGTGCTGATAGCAGGCACTGCATAATCCAGGACACCACACCCTTAGACAGCAATTTTGCAAGAGTATTTATTTCCAAATAGGAATGCTTCCTGTGCTTCTTTACATCTTTGTAGGAAGGTATACTACTTGGCAAATACAGCACTGCACTTGAAACTCCTCTGCATATTAGACGCAGCCATCTAACATAAGGCAAACCAACAAATGGTAATGGTTAGTGAGGGATTTTCAGATTTATAGCACTCTAGAATGTACAGAGCAATTATTTTTGGTAAAATCTATGATGCATGTCAGTATAAAAATACACTGTTGCTTCTTTAAAATAACTATGAATATAACAGCTGTCAAAATCTAAGCCAACTTCACAGCTAAAAATAAAGTGAAAATATTTGAAGAAAAACTTGATCTTTTGTAACTCTGAACTCTTAAGAATGTAATAACTGTTACTTAACAATAGAAGTTTCTGTAGATAAATCACCCCCAGCCAAACTAACTTTGAAACTGATGCTCTTTGTAAGCTGGCTCCAACAACAGATCCTCTGTAGGAGAACTCTGAAGAACATTGCAGGATGGGCTTTTCAACTGATTAAGAACTGATTTTAGGAACAGAAAGAAGGTCAGAAGGAAAAGGGCACAAAATGCTGTCTCTAATTAGAAAGAAAAGATAGTTGACAGGGTACATGGGACAAGTACTACTCCTTGCCAGGGAAAACACTTCAGCAGCAAGCTCTGAGCTAAAGTCACTGACAAGATCTCTAGGGCATAGGGAGCAGGAGGAAGCAGAATATTTCCCCGTATATAGTAAACAGGCACAGAGTTTGACTGAAGTTATGCAAAGTAGATAAAGAAGGCATCTGCTTGACTTTTGTTGGCTGTGGAGATTTGCTAATACTAATTAAATAGCTTAAATACAGCCAGGAAACAGATTCTTCTGTGCTTCACAAACTCTTGAACCTCATTCCACTCTCACATGATGACTAAGAAAACACTACAGACAGTATATCCTGATCACAGCATAACAAACTTAATTCTGACCAAGTCTAGCAAGAAAAGCAGGAATTTCCTTGCAGGACTGAGTCATAGAACATTGAGTTACTGTGCTAATCGTTAACAGTAAGACATTGGTATCAGAAGAGGCCCAGATTTCTCAAGGAAAACACAAAAATGTTAACACCAATCAAAGTATGTTTGTTTTACCTTCTTTTTCTGATCTAATAATTTCAGAGTATTTATTGCTTGTATTAAATTATTGCCACCCCTGTTATAGCCAGAAACATCAGGAGCATAAAAGACTTCATTTATACTTACAAGTCACGTTTGTTGAAGCAAAACAAAACTCCAAGGAGCACAATCAACAGGAACGCTAGACACACAGGTACAACTATGGCTTCAATTTCTCCTTTCCCTGAAAAAAATGGAGAGGTTACAGCTCACTTTGGTATTTAAGGAATTCAGCAGCAGTATGCATTTCCAAAGGGATGAGGAGAACCTGAAACTGAATACACCCACAGTGCTCAGTCTTAAGCTTCACATTCAGAGGAACCTTTTCACCATATGAAGAGAGCCTGCTGGTGAAACATGAAAAGCTCTGTCCCAACAATCTAAAAATCTAAGGCCTTGTGAATTCATCTGTGGTCAGAGTGTTTCAGTGGCCTACTGGCTGCCATATCATGGTCACATAAGCAATGTAAGCAGTCACCAGTCATCCGTCAGTTTCTTCTGTACATGAAAATATCACCTGCAAACACTTATGGTTGCATTATTGTTAGTATTCCTTCCAGTGTTATACACTAAGTAAACCTTACAGAATGCTTAGGGAGGAGCAATATGATACAGAAAAAATACAAAAAACTGATAAATCTCAAAAAGTGCTTTCCACAGCTAACTTTAGTTAATGTTGTTGCTCTTACCATCACAAACAGGAAACACTCTAAAGCTGAACACACAACATATTTAAGTTTTCAAAAATGAATCTCTGTAGAGAACTATAGCAGACTTTAATAGTGATATGATTGAGAATGCAGAACTCAGGAAAGGTTGTTAAGAATGGCATGTGCTGACTAGCATCTAGATTGGCAGATCAAGATCTCAGCATACCTCTGAAGCTTCTCAGGACACCCATACCACGATAATAAAGGCCAATCTACCTTTAGATTAAAACAAAGACTCTGGATTACTTTGGACAAGGGAAGGAGCAACAACAGTCATCAGCAGAGAAGACAAGGGCACTAAGTAAATCCTAATGACTTGCATAAAGCTGGGGCAAATGAATACTACAACCTGAAGTATACACAAAACACATTCAAAACTAGCATGTTTGCCAATATAAAAGAGCAATCCAAGAGACCTGCAGAGGATAGCTTGTCCTCTATACAATCAGAAGAAATCCGGACTACCTCTTTGTGAGTGAGTACTAGATAAGCTACCTGGATATCATGCACCTTGTAAGTATGACTGCAACTACAATTTTATTTTTTTTTTTTTCAATAAAATCACCTTCCCCTCCTATCAGATCTTGCATAAAGCTTTGCTATACTGTTGCAACATGACCTCCTATTTCTATTGTGTCACTCTTCCTTACCAAATTTCTGTGTAGTAAATGTAAAATCAGGACCACTCCTGCCTCCTTCATCTGTGTATGCCATCATTCGAACAGTATACAGTGTGTCACTAGTTAGAGAAGAAAGGGTATATTCTGTTTTGGAAGGATCCACTGTCACAGCTAAAGAGAAGAAGCATTTATATTAGTTTTCTGCACAATTTATTACATCTCCACAAACACATTAGCATTAGGACATCATGTCTTCAGACGTACAAGATAGATTTAGTAGAATGATAGAAAATACAACAGACACAGGAAGACTACAAACTTGCACAAGAAATACTGAGATCAGCTTGTTTCTGTTCAGGTGTTTGAATTTAGTCTCTTTCTTGATGATATGTTACTTATTGATTTAACTGTGAGTTTTTTTTCCCCAGAATGTAGCTGCAAACTAAACTAGCAATAAATTTGAAGGTTAAAGGTCTATAATAAGTAGAATACATGGCTAACTAGAAATAGCTAGTTACTAACTAGCAAAAACATTGTTAACTTAAAATAACAAGAAGTAGGGTAGGCCTAAGTAATTTGCCCTTCTAATTTAAGCAAATTAAATAAGAAAAACTTTTGATAATACTAGTTCCCTGTCTTATGCCTGCAGGTTGTACACACTACTGAGAAGTAAAATGCACTTCAAACAAGATGTTTTACTACAGTAGAATATTTATCTAGAGGCTGCAGGAAGATTAAAAATACTTTTCTTAAAAGGCTATTTCACAGTTAAATCCAGTCAACTCCTTTACATCTTGAATAGTCTAGCTTCATCTTGCTATAACCACCATTTCATCCTGTATTTAGACAGAAAAATAAGAGCACAATACCCATAAACTGACTTTCAGAAACTAAACTCAGTATCTTGTTACGCACAGACTGAATGCTCTGAATTCTTTATTATGGACTTTTCTGTTCAGTATTGAGGAGAGCTATGCCTCAGACATCAGCTTTCTGTCATCAGAACAAACTGCCAGCCACACTCAATTCTTTATCTTGTTCTTCAGGTACATGGATTAGGAAGGAAATGGATGGAATACTTCAATGCCAGAAAGCACTTTTCTGCTTCTTGTTACCTGTTTCATTTCCATCGACAGTTTTGTAAAATATGGTGTAGCTTCTGATAAATCCATTCTGTTCATCCACTGTGAGATGGTTCCATGTCAAAACAGCTTCAGCTTTTCCTACTTTTTTTGTCTGAACAGTTGGTCCTTTTGAAGGACCTGTAATGGGAGATGAAGATTAGCTTCTGTTGGGCTCTCTCACATCCACTGAAGCAGTGTATTAATGAGCACTGAGTTTCTACTGCATAAAAATTCCAATGAAATAGCTGGACAAACTCATCTGGAAAGCATTACTGTCAGGTAACACAGCAACTCCAAAGTTGTTTTAAAAGAGAAACCTCCAGGAAAAAGATATGGAAATAAGTAATCAGCAGATCACATGAAATCAACTGAAGTTAATTATTCTTGGCTTCATACTTGAATTTAAAATAAATCAGCATAAAAATATTACTGTATCAATAAAATAACA